AATATATTTATTATATTTTTAGAAATAATTTCGTCCTTATTAAAATTATCTAGATAATGTCGTTTATTAAGCTTATTAATGTCCAAAAATATATAATACCTAAATATTAATTAATATTATGTCGGTTGCAGTAAAGTCAATATATACATATATTAAGTATTTATTTTATAGGAGAACTAATAAAATTCGAATTTATCGTCCCTAAAATATTCGCTCATGACAATCCGGGTTGGATCATGCCAATCTGCAAGAGCAAATCAGAACCCGGTATTGGCGCAGTAAAGCCCGTCGAAATTTCATTGTAATCAGCGCCTTCTTCGCTGCAGCTCGTTGTCGTAGAAGTTGTTCAAATTAATCGTGATCTCCAAGGTGTGCAGGGCTGAGTCCCTCTTGGGCGAGTCCACCTAGTAGTCGAAATATTTTTCCAAGAAGCCACTGTAGAGGCGTATAATCGGCCACACTCACTGTGTCATTGGTTGAGACACCACATAGGTCAGCGCTTGGCGAATGCCAGAGGGGCCAGAAATCTTCATGTCATCCATGTAGATCTCAATGGCGCGGCGAAGAATGATGTGCCGTCGCTCCACAAGCGCCAGTCGATGTGACTCAGTTGGGGCTACGATGTGCTCCACAGTGTTGTGTGGTCCATGCATTCACCCACCCAACCACATCCTTCATCAGAACAAAGGCATTGGGGAAGTTCAAAATGCCGAATCCAGGCTCTTTCAAGACCATGGATGAGACGGTCACCATGTTTTTCTTGAAGTAGTGTCGCCACAGTGTACTTGGTGGCCTGGTCGATGACACTGAGAACGGGGAAATTCTTTGCACTGGTGTTGCATTTAATCCACAGCACATCGGCCTGCAAGCGTTGACCAACTTCATGAGCTTGATGTCGCAAGGTAGAAGGTGCCACTTGGTTTGGTCGCTTGTAGTGCAGGCATGCAGTGCATTGGAAGTGGCGAGCTGCCTCGATGACTTAATCACTGGCTCCTCGGCTGGTTCCACCAGGGCTTCGGGCTTTGGATGTCCAAGGTTTCGATGCAAGCGTTGCACTGAGCGAACTACTTCACTCTTCAGGGTCGTTTGGAGCTTGAAAAGACATCCAGTGGCCTCCTTCTGCTCGGAGACTGCAAGTCCATAGTCCCATAGTTGAGCAGGATCAGGGGCACAAATGGCAGCTGCAATCGTGGCTCCAAGACCAGGCTGGTAGTCCTCAAGGTAGGAAGCGCGACGGCCAAGTCCAGGTGCTGAGCCTTCCGGAGAACAATGCGTGCCCATCGCATTGCTTTGACAACGCGGCCTGCATGGAGACCTTGCTTGAAAGGATGCCTGTGGGCTTCTTCAACAGTTTCCAAAATCCATCTTGGTCCAGGCAAGCACAGCCAAACATGCATTGATGGAGAACAATCCAACATCAAGTCTTTGAAGGCTGTGGTATACCAGCTCAAGGCTGCTCGATGTGAGCGTGTCGAGCGTTGTCAACCTGCTCCTTGTAGACCTGTGCCACGAACATCAAATGGCAGGCATGATGTTCCTTCCGCTTGAGGTAGAACTTGTGCTGCTGGGCATCAGTCCTTGCAGCGAGATTTTGCATCTGGCTCCATGGCAGGAGGGCGCCAGGTAGACTTCGTCAGGCATCTCAGTGCGAGTCTGTGCAAGAAGAGGTCCTGGTGCTTCTGTAGGTCAAAGTCCCAGCCAGTTTCATAGCTGAAAATCTCAACATCCATGCCAAGAGCTGAAACGCGTGCTCCACCACAGCAAACTTCCTAAAGCACTCGCTTGCGTTCAGGCTGGTGCAGCTCTTCAATGATGTAGGCATGGAGCTCGTTCTCAAGGGTGTTGAGCTTCACATTGCAGGTCTGGAGCAGATGTCGTCGCATTGGACGAAATCCATCTTGGGCAGCAGCTTGAACTTCAGAGGCATTGTCAAAGAGCTTGGTGTCCTTGTTGAAGGTCTGGAAGTCCACAAAGTCGCCACTGACGCCACCGTCCGCAGGGACCATCAGCGTCGTTGTCGAAGTCCTCATAGGTCTCATCGACGTAGCTGTCGGCCAAGGGCGATGTTGCCTGGGAATAGCTGTCGTCATGCTCATAGTTATCGTTCTTCCCATCCATCATCATCAGGAAATTCATCCATGTCGGGGTCAAAGTCGTCACCCTCGTAGTAGGCAGCATATGCTCGCCCTTTTCCACGGAAGCCTCGGTGATGTGGATGTTGTCCACCTCCGGCCACAGTTTTGTGATCTTGTCCAAGGATGAAGAAGATCGCCTCCTGCACCTCGTTGCGCTCCATCGAAGGGGCTTGAGCTGTGACCAACTGTCCTTGTTCCTTGGTGAGTCCAGCTCGTCGCAGAAGATGCCATCCTTGAACTTTTCCAGGGAGGGCCACGTTGTGGTCAGAGAGCTTATTGTAGAGATGGTCATGCTCAGTGGTGTACTCCAGGAGGGACTGGCCACGACGTGGGTGAAGTCCTGCAAAACACTTGTCAAAGTCAGACGGCAGCTGGACGGTCTTGTCATTCTCAAAGACTTTGTCGAGGATCTTGAGGATCTTCTCGAAAGCCCCGCTCTTCTCGATGTCCTCGGTGGGGTAGTTCACCAAGAGCTTCCAAGCCGTCCCAGACAGAGAGCCGATGATGTTCAGCAAGCCTTCTCCTTCACGTTTTGCCATCTGCACAATGGTATGGAGGAGTCATTGGTGCTCGCCGACCCTGTTCCACCAGACATTGCCTTCGGCAAGGTGGTAGCCTGCGGTGAAGGCCAGGAGGTCAAACACAGGAAGTTCAGGTTGAAATGCTAAGCCCGAGCTCCTCTAGGAAGCCCACCAAGGGCCAGCACAAGGCCAGAACAACGCAAATGCAGCTCGGCCTGCTCAGCCAGAAACCGGTGCAGCAGGGCCTGCTCAGGGCCAGGGCACCAAAGGCAGTGGGGGCCTGCTCAGGGCCGAAGCAGCAGATGTAGACGAAGTTCAGCAAGGCCGCGCAATGCAAAGGCATCAGCGCGTGGCCACGGAGTCCAGAAGGTCAGCTGTCAGCTGGCTCTGCTACCAATGTCAAGATCGGGTCAAGGCCCTCGAAGTCCCGACCCACCTCCAAGAACTGCTTGGCGGCAGCAGCAGCTTTTCCGTGAAGCTGCCGTAGCGTAGACGCAATGGCACGTTCGTCCCACCACTTGATTACACAGCAGCGGTGGAACACAAAATGTATTCGACATGACATGTTTCATGTCACATCCATGACTGCATGGTTTGCAGTCGCAAACTTCACAGTTCCTACTTTAGAATTTCCCGCTTTGCCAAATTCCAAAATTTCGGTGCCGTTGGGAGGTCTCAAAAAGGTCGAGCAAAAGAGTATTCACTATGTCTTCGTGCAGACTAAAGATGCATTCGGCCAAGAGTCCAAAATAACTGTTTTTTTGAAATTTTCGGACCAGCGAATTTGCGCGCGCGCGGTGCCACCCTTACCGTAGTATTAGTAGCAATAAAGACAAATAAAATATGAAGGATGGAATCAGGCTTCATTTTTTGATTCTTTGATTCCATATTTAATATAACTATTTATACTATTGATATCCTATTTAAAATGGTTGAGGATCGCTCAAAATAACAAAGATAAGGATTTTGGGCATGCGGCACCTCAGTGCAAAGTTTGATTCAAGAACTCATTTGGATCAAAGAATTCAAACTGATTTCAGCAAGACAATATGGTATTCCAAGGATACGACACTTGTCAGCAGACCATTTATTGCAATGTAAGCATTTGACGTTGGCGAATGGCTCCATAATGTCGGATGATGTCTGATATTGGTAAGCAATCATCCGGGTGTCAAACAAATGCTGCTAACCTTAAATAGTCTTGGCGCCCAACCCCGCTGAAAGTAGGAATTGGAAGAAGTTGACGCGAAACGAACCGGCCTTGATTTGAATGACACCGGCTGGAAATGCCAAGACGCGGCTTGAACACCCTCGAAATATTGAACTTGTAACCTTAAAAAAAGGAGCCATACCGCATGATTTCTTGCTGCAAAAAGGAATAAGGTGTGTTTTTTTTGTTTCTGCGTCAATTTCTAGAATAATTCCTTACTTCAATATTTCCATGATGATGTCCAAGAATTCTAGAGCAAGAAAACAAGCCTCGAAATGGTGAACGGGGCCAGTTCCCTCTGCTGCCACTGCATCCAGTCCACTGGGACTCGTACTGTCCAGGTGGCTAAAGCCAATGGCACTGGCATCAAAGCCTCAACTCCCGCAAAATCACAGGGATGACTTCGATCCTAGATCAAAAAACACATCCTCCGAAAGTCAAACAAACCTCGAAAAACTGGCTAACAGAAATCATTGTTAAATCATCCCTGCCAGTGAATGCAGCACTTCAATCATGGTTAAATGCCTATCGAACGCCATTGATGCCAGGCCACGGCAATGGCCACACCCAAGGCACCCTTTCGATGCATCAAGTCGGGCCTCAGGATTTTTTGGACAAAACCTAGTGAAACAAAATCGGTATAATCAGGGATTGCGGAAACACATAAACATATATATATATATATTCCCGATCTAGTTTATAATATTATATATATATATATATTCTAAATCTAGTTTATTATATATCTATATTTTTTGCAAATGCATATATATATAGAGAGAGAGAACCAGCAACCAGTTGCCAGTAGCACCAAGGATTCTGAGCTCTCGGACAGCCACGGCTGTGATTCGGACAAGCGTTGCAAACCCTGCTGGTAACACGAAACCTTCGACAGGCTGAAACCTGCGCGATCGTCCGGCAAGACATGGTGGCAAATTCCCAATTATGAGGTGCAAAATCCAATTTCATGTTGGCATATTCTCATGGCTATATGATGGTTTAAAACAAGGTTGTATCCCCTGGTTAGAAATATATATATATATATAATGTCTGTGTATGTCAATAGTATATTAGATATATATATATATATTGTATATTTCCATACATTAATATTATATATATATTAAATAAGAGTTTACTATATATTATATGAAACAATACTTTAATTATCTATGGTCATAATATTTATTTATATTTTTGTAACATCATATAATATTATACATATATATATATTATGTAATCTTTATTTTATTATATATGTAAATATTATCTATAATCATATATATATAACTATATAATGATAAATTAAATTATATATTTAACTTCATATATAATATACATATAACATCATATATATAGATTGTTGTGTCTACGTAAAATATATTGTATCATATATTTTGTTTATATATTGTATTTGATATCTTATATCTTATCTTATATATAATATTAGATACTATATCATTATATATTAAAATATGTTCGATTGTATATCATATGATATATGTATAGATCCACTCAGTGTCCAACAGCTAAATCCAGTTCTCCCCCCCATTTCGCGCCGCACCTACACCATAACCTCCCAGCGCGGCCAGGTAGGAGCCGAGGGCGCAAACCCCAAAAACTTGGACCTTCGGCACTTGCGCCTTCACTGCGATGAAGATCAATGGCACGTATGGGAAAGGCTGAGGCCTCTGGGCGCTGGGATGGGTCGGTGAAAAAAATGAGAATCCTCTTGGGATATATAGAATTCAGGAACAATGATGGGAGACGTCATATGTGCAGTCTTATTTTGTGGGTATATAGTGAGTGAGAGTGTTTCAACACTTCAGTCTGGTGTTCACGCATCAGGTGCGCATCGACCGAATTTGTGGTTCAAAAGATTTTTTTCAACTGTAGCAGCCAGGGTGAGATATCGCAGAGCCATATCCGGCCGTCGTGCTGAGAGCTGTGGGGTCTGACGAACTGCTTCTTTGAGTGAAGCCAGCTACTGAAACTCCACCATCTGAGCACTTGGATGGTAGCGGAGCCTTGGAAAGGCTTGTGTGAGAAGTGAAGCTGAACCTGAGGTGTGAACACCCTTTGGGAAAGAAGTGAATATGGTGGAGATTAGTAGAAGCAAAGATGGAGTACCGCAGTGGTCAGGGGATGCAGCTTCATATCAAGAATATGAAAAACAGGCACTGCAGTGGGAACAGTCAATAGCTCATGGAAAAAGATACCTATGTGGCCCCAGGATGATACAAGAGATGAGTGGAACGGCCAGGAAGCTGGTCACAGGCAAACGGCCAGACTGGCTGAGCTTCAACGGTGGAGTGGTGAGACGAAGCTTGGGGAGACCACAAATACCAGAGCTGTCCGAGTACTTGAACAAGTACTTCAAGCAGAGCCGCCGACGAAAGTCGATGAACCAGTACATTGTCAGGAAGACCGAGGTGTACCACAGGGCAAAACAGGCCTTGGCCAGGTCTTGCCCCATCAGCAGCGCAACACTGGCGATGACTATCGCTGGCAGAGATCTTCATGGAGGTCAAGCTTGTGGCGTGGGTCATGGCAGAGTTCTTTTACAGGCCAAGATGATTGGACCGGTGGAGGCCAGAGCCACCCAGACCAGGAAGAACCATGGTCAGATCCTTGGGCTCATGAGCTCCACGGGGAGAGCAAGATGATGAAGATGAGTCGGGTGAGTTTCAGGACGCAGCTGATGGATGGGAGGCCTATAGCCACCACACCTCAACTCAGCCCGACCGGTGGTCTGGTTACGAAGATGAAGACTGGACCCATGAGACACCAGAGCTCCTGCCAGAATTCCTCCAAGGATGGTATCTCTTGATGGATGCCAACCTCACCAGCGCTGAACGCAACTTGGTTCAGACCGCTGTCCAGGGAAACTTTGGAAGTGAGCGGATTGCCCAGGAGCTCCGCACACAATGGCCAGAGGAGGACTTGAAAGACCATGACCAAGGTCTCAAGCAGTCCAGCTACTGGCAGGACGACATCGAGGAGGACATCAACTACGAGTACGGCCAGGAGTTCACCAGAAAAGAGCTGGAATGACGGGATGAATGACGAAGACATCGCGCTGATCGCAGATGCGGAGGTGCAGATCGAAATTGCCATGGCCATCATCGAGAAGGGCAAAATCACTATAACGTGAAGCAAGAGCCAAGCAACATCGAGTAAAAATCAACCGACAATTCTACAAGACTGAGGTTGAGAAGTACAAGAGCCGGACAGGCCCCATGCGGTGTTTCTGATGTGAAGAAACCACAAGATAGCCAATGGCCCTGACAGAATGGCCCATGAGGCAACGACAACAAGGTAGAAGCCGCACCTTTCGTCTGGTATATGCCACAAGGACGAAGAGGCCTTGGCGACCAGCGAGAACACGTTGACCACCGAAGAGGCAATACTCCAGGGCTATGGCATCATTGCCAGTGGTGCTATGAAGACATTGGGCAGTGTACATGCTCGCCGCTCCCCGCGAGCCGGGCGAACATCCACCCGAGCAGCTCGAGCAGTGGAAGAATTGCCGAGTTGAAGGTGAGATGGATGGAATTGGAGGAGGAGAAGGGCTTGGATCAACCCGACGCACCCGCCAGCAAGGCACCGAGCTGATGACCTGGGTGACTCGCCTCAACATCGACGGTTTCCTGGTGCGGTTCGATGTCCTGCGAAACAGGGCCGCAAATCGAGGTGGCATGGCCGTCAATTTTAATGGGCTTGGCTGGATACTTCTAAACGCATTGGGTGCCACACCGGATCACTGGGAAAGGCTTCTTTTCCGAAATGAAGAGCGGTTACCAGAGGGCTGGGAAATGACACAGGTCTTCTCCATGGCATGTTTCTGCAAGATCACCATGGTCTTTTGACCGGTGATGGTCAGTCCCAAGTCCGAAGTGCAGAACTCCTGCATGGACACCTTAATTCTTCTTCATGGCATGGTTTTCGGATGGCAACTTTCGAAAATGAATGAGTTCACTGACAGCTTCGGCTGCAGCTTCCGAATCCAGTGGGGCGTATCGCCCAATGAGCATCTCAACCAGCAACATGAGACCCTGTGTGTGTGTGTGTGCCTGTGAGTGTGCGTGTGCGTGTGCGTGCGCGTGTGCGTGTGCGTGCGCGTGTGCGTGTGCGTGTGCGTGTGTGCCCCCGTCTGAGGGTCCAACCTGCCGTTTTGCAATGTGTTTGGGGGAATTTCTCGGATTAGGTCGCGCGCAGCGCCTGAACTTTGTAATGCGGCGATGGGACCTTGTCTTTGGGGGTCAAGGTCAGTGCTGGCAGACCACAGGATTATGTGCCCTCTGTACGCTCCAGGCTGGCGGCACCTTGAGCGTAGCCGTTCCTACATATGGTGGTCCGGCATCGCCTACATTGGAATGATTACACGGTGGGGAAGTCTATGGCATCTGGGACCTCTGGTGTGGGTTACGGGGAAACATTAAGCCTACGAAACTTAATGCACCAATCAATGCCACTGCGGAAAACACAGACCAAAGCGCGAAAATTATGCCTCCACATCATTCTCATGCGCTCCAACATGTCAACAGCTTGACCCTTTTCACTGTTTGACCCTTTTGTGCCAGATAAACGACGACACACTGCTTTGTCACTGAGCTCATGGTTAGAAAAATGTCCTTCAGCCTGGCAGCCTGGTGCCACTTCCGAACATGATGTTGTGCGTGCGGTTGGTTTCAATAGGGAAAATTGCCTTCGTTTGCAACTGCAGAAACTGATCCCTTTTGGGGGCCTCACGTGTCAAGAAGCCAGAATGATTTAGACGACATAGCAGTTCTGCCGTCGCATCTTGCCTCAGCAATCTTAAGACATGTAGCAGATATGGTGCAACTTTCCCTGAGCTCTGAATGGCGTCCAACACGTTGGTGTCAAGCAGCGCTGCTAGAGCAGAGGATTTTGCCACATGAGTCGGCATCAAATGGCGCAGCATTGTGCCGTTAGTTGTTGTCACGTTTTCTGGGTGGCCGACTTCATCATGCAATGTGAAACATCTTGCAAAGGGACCTTGAGGTCTTCCTTGCAATGATCTTTGAGCCACGGTCTTGCAGATTGAGCGGTTGGGGGTAGGTGCGATGTGATGCCTGTCGGTAGCAAACATGTGGTACCATTTGATTTATGAATGTATACATACTTATATATATATATACATATTACATATATATATATATATATATGATATATGCATATAGCACGCAGTAACGCAATAGAATCATCAATCAACAGGGGTTTCGACCATTGCTCTTTTGACATCTTGTCCGAACTTTCTGAAACGCCATCTTGCGCCCCCCAAGGTCTTTAGGCTTGGACAAACCATCACCGAGGAGGACTGCAATGAACAGCCCAGGCAACCTGAAGTCCAGTGGCACTAAGAAGCACGGCATTTCAGGATCGGATGACAGCATTCCTGGGCCCAACACCCAATGGAGTCCATGAGCTGCTTGGAAAAGTGGGTGACTCCGTCCTGCCACGGGGTTGCCACTAACGTCAACCTCGAATTAATATAACCAATGCAGCTTGATTCATGTGCGGGAACCCGAAAAGTGATGAATGATGCGCCAACCTGAAAACTAGTGCTATACATGCTTGATCCCTTCCAATATTCTTCTAGTAGGCCCACTAGGCTCTTTCTACGCCCTGCAGCCTCCTTTCTTGTTGCTAGCCCATGTTGACGTGGTGTCAACAATTGAAAAAGAAGTCCAACGATATTCAACTATAATATAGCACCAGATATGTATATATATATGTATATAAAAGATTTTATAAGTATACGTATGTAATTGTACAAATATATAGTTTAACGATGCTCAATGGAAAGTACACCCAGCTCACTGTTGACATTGTCCTTCAAACCCCATGAGCCCCGGCAGAGGAGCCGAACCTTCGCATAGACTTCCAGCAGGACTGCGATGATCAGAAACCCTATCCTTGCTGCCATGGGATATCACCATGTCAATAAAAACTGGGGACAAACAAGACGTCTTGCCAGTACTTCACCCGCCGCCTTAATGGCAGAGATTCATATATTCATAGATCGAAAAGTAGACTGCGTGGGGTCTCCCAAAAACCACTGGATGCCAATGCCAAGTCCAATTTTGGGGGGAATCACACAACTGTCCAGCATGTTTTTCCATTTACCCTCTGGTTATTTGACCTGGCGAACTGGAAAATCACCATTTTTATAGGTAAATCATCATAAATCATCTAGAAATGGGCAATTTTCCATAGCCATGTGAAATAACCAGACGGTACCCTTTTTAGGTACCTTTTGAAGGAAACACCGCTAGTCTTTCCAAAAGCGACTGGGAAAATACGAGCTGTGCCAATCAGTTCTGGGTTCTGGGAAACACTCATATGCTCACTTGAGCGGCGCTCGAAATCTCTAATTCAAATGACCGAAAATTCTTCCGCCCAACCTCAGCCGACTGCTTGCGGGAAAAATAAATGTGCCTGGGTTTGGCGTGTGTTTTGCACTGTGGCGCGAGGCATCTTTCAGACTAGGTCTTGACATCATTTATGAAAGCTAGCGTAACAATGTTACGCCCAACCGACCGGTTAGCCCAAAACGTCATTCAGACTTCGCATTGCAACCTGGACTTAACGCCTGTGTTGTGGAACCAGCGGTCCCTTTCAAATTTCCTGAAAACTTGGGAATACCATGGGATACCCCGTTTTACGACTCAGGATGTTGGCCGCAATCCCGCAAGTCTCCAAAATGTGGTCTTTGATGGTCTTTGTGTACCAAATGTTGCTGAACATCCTCCTACATATCTTCGAGTGGCACCTATCCTTTCAAATCATATCCCACCATATCCCTGTTTTTTCAAGTTCCATGCCCACTTCAATACCTTTTTCCAAATGGTCTCCAAACCCATTTGGAAACCACTTGGGGAGGTCTCCAGTGTCCCAGCTTCAAGGTGAAAACAGCTTTCACTGCAAAGCGCTGCCAAGGAATTGCATGCGGCGACTCCTGGCAAGATGCTATGCTCACGGTTTGCTATCGTTCGTCATCAGGGACAGCCAAAAACCTGTTGTTTCATGAAATGAATCGGAATTATGGTGATCATCCACTTTCCAACCGGAACATCCCGTTCGATCTGGCTGAGGTGTACGGCATGAAGCTGATACGCCGCCCTTGGAAGGGTTGTTAATTTTGAGATGTACCGATAATTTGAAAAATGAAGGCTGCCAAAATGGGGGTACAGGATTTGATTTTCGCCTTAGTTGACATGTTGCGCATGCTGTGGTATGTTCATCAGGGGGGTTGGGGGGTGGGGGGTGTATTAACGGTCCTGACGGGTACTTCATTTACGTTACGGAACACGTTGCCGTTGTTAACATGTTGCACATGCCGTCGTATATTCATCAGGGGGGTTGGGAGGGTTTATTAACGTTCCTGACAAGTACTTCACTTGCGGTACAGAACACGTTGCCGTTGTCAAATGTTGTCAACATGTTGCACATGCCGTCGTATATTCATCAGGGGTGCGGGGTGTATTAACGTTCCTGGCGAGTACTTAACTTACGTTACGGAACACGTTGCCGTTGTTAACATGTTGCACATGCCGTCGTATATTCATCAGGGGGGTTGGGAGGGTGTATTAACGTTCCTGACGACTTGTAACAAGGATTACCCTCACAAAAGATTCAAGATGGCCCAAGTCAACCACAAAAAATATTTTTACTAAGACTTATCATTTTCGAGGTCGTTTGCGGGGCAAATCCCATAGAACCATTGTTGCTGGTATTCAACACATGGATGGTACATGGAAACACGTCAAAAAATGGAAACCAATGTCCATGCTCCACAAGAAAAACCAGCAAGTGTACAAAAAAAGGTACTCTTGGGCTTACAGTTGGACATGGCGTCATAATGTCGCCTTGTTGGAGTCTGTGGTCGCTGTGTTGCCAAAAGCACTCGGGCACTGAAGCTTCGAGAAGAGGAAAAAAATGGATGGGTGGATGTTTGCCTGGGATGATTGAAAATCATAATTTTCAAACTTTTTTTTAACCCTTGAAGAAAATAATCCATTCACTGCGCAGGCGAAACGCAAATTTTGACACTTGAGTCACACGCCTGCCAATCGAAATTAATGTCCATATTGCAAACATTTTTTGGCAAGTCCCACAAATACAAGGATTTTGTCTCTTAGCCGTAGCCTCAAAAATCGCAATTTCAAATTCATCACCACTACAAGGGCGGCGAGTCAACCGGTTGCCTTGTTTTTCATCAAGCTGCAAATTCACCCATTTTGGAGTGGTTCCACTTGTGTTCATTGGTCATTACTTGTGCAGCACTGCAAACCTTTGCAAGGTGATGGAGATGTTTATCATCTAGTTTGTGGTCAACGTAAGATACATGGTATCATTCAACCACACATCAAACCCGATCATTGTGGGTATTTGTTGGGGCATGCATTAGTGATATTCAATTCTGGCGCTTGCTGTAGCATCAAGGATATGTATACTTGTACACACACACATTATGGTATACTTATATATATATATGGAGGCATCCAGGAACACAATTTAACGAATATGTGGATACAAACACTAACAACACCACGAGTAAATAGCAACCATGATGGACTTGGGTGGTGCTGAGTCCCATCGGTTTCCCTTTCATATCGCATCAGTGTTTTGGACTTTGCATTAAGACAGCCCTAAGGATTGAACGGGAAGTAGCCGCAAAGAATTTCAGAAAATAAAAATAAATATCCACGTTCATTGTCATTTCTTCAGCATGTCTTCGGAAAATCTTTCAAGAATTCCCGGCATCCACCTCCTGATTTTCTTGACCGTCGTCAACCTGGGGTCGCAGGATGCATTGGGCACGCATCGAACACGCGAAATTGCCGTGGATCACATGCAAGGAAATGCGAAAGCAACCACCGCTGTCCCTTGTTGAACAGACAAACAGAGACCCAAAAAAACTAGTCAAATGAGCACGAAATCAAACTCTTTTGGAGGAATCCTTCAACATGAAAATAGCGTTTGGCACCTCGAAGGCGTAGGCTTCCGGTGAAGTTGATGGTCCCTGGCGAAAACAACCCCCAATTGCACAGTGATTCTGGAATAGATTTCCTGGAAATGTCAAAAAAACAAATAAAGGACCGGATAACCCCACAAGTCAACTTCTTCCAATAATCAGAACAGAAGTTGAGGCGGGACGGGGAAGGGAGGAAAGACAAGGGAGGTGGTGGAGGATCGATAAGTACAAAGTTGTATGTGGAAGAGTTGTGTGTGTGTGAGAAGTGTGCGAGCACGTTGTGATGTATGAGGGTGAAACAGCTGTGTGTGAAAGAGTTGTTTGTGAGGAAATTGTGAAATAGCTGTGTGTGAGCCTGAGTGTGAACGAGTTGTGTGCCAGAGTTGTGTGTGAAAGAGTTGCTTGTGCAAAAGTTGTGTGTGAGAAAGCCGGCCTCCCAAGCGACGCGGTTCAGAGCAGGGCGGGATCCGGCAATCACAAGGATGCGAACTGACCGGCCAGTGCCTCTATGTGTGCCCAGCTAGGAGCACTAGCCTTACTTAGTTACGAGCCAAGTGTTGGCCCCAAGCACACAAGCCGCGTCATCCTGCACCACCGGCCAACGAGGTGACAGGCGACCATAGGTTGCTCTGCTTGGTACATCAGGAACACATGCACAGTGACGTAAAACTAAGCGATGCAAGTGCTTCTTCCCACGTTGGGTCAAAGCTACCACTGCTGCATCAAGATTGGAGAGCACCATGTTGCAAATCAGCTAACAACAAACCTCACACAGTTGATGACTAGAAAAAACAAAAAGCAAGTGACAGCTGTTTCAAAGCCGACGCACCCAAAGTGAAACCGAGCATGCACTTTGGTTACAAGGCCTCCCACTTGACGCAGCCTGAGCACATCGCACGTTGCTTTGTGCACCGACAGGACCTTCGCACAGACGCGTCAGAAGTGACGGCGTGTGCCCAGCAAGGCGCATTAGCCCGTCGCCCTTGCTGTCATTCTCGGTTGAGAACCAAGCGTTGGCCCCAAACACACGAGCTGCGTCACCCTGCACCATCGGCCAAGGAGGTGACAGGCGACCATAGGTTGCTCTGCTTGGTACAGGAACACGTGCACAGTGAAGTAAAACTAAGCGATGCAAGTGCTTTTTTCCATGTTGGGTCAAAGCTACCACTGCCGCATCAAGATTGGAGAGAACCATGTTGCAAATCAGCTAACAACCAGCTGCACACAGTTGATGACTAGAACAGGACCAAAAAGATCAAAAAACATGTGACAGCCGTTTCAATGCCGACGCGCCCAAAGTGCAGCTGAGCATGCCGCTTGGTTACAAGGCCTCCCACTTGACGCAGCCTGAGCACATCACCTTTGCATTTTTTGTTGCTGGCACGTAACACAAGGCTAAACATGGCTTGCATGAAGTTGCTGTAAGACATGCCAGAATGGCTTGCACAAAGTTTTTTGTAAAACATGTACGACCTGCTTAAACATGGCTGGCACAGATCTGGTTGCTGGCAAGTAACGCATGCTTAAACATAGCTTGCACAGATCTGACAGACACATGAAATGTGGATGTCGCCAAGTGCCACGGCTGCCACGCAAAGTGCCGCGGCGCCAGGGGCGAATAACGGTGCCCAAGCGCGCCACCAGATCCAACCCAGTGTCATAAGCGCCACGCCCGCCACGCAAAACGAAGGTGAATGTGAGCAAGCGCCACTCCTGCCATGGAAAACGAAAGTCGGTGTCGCCAAGTGCCACGCCTGCCACGCAAAGTGCCGCGGCGCCACGGGCGACTAACGGCGCCCAAGCGCGCCACCAGATCCACCCCAGTGCCATAAGTGAAGTGCCACGCTTGCCACGCAAAAGGAAAGTTGATGTGAGCAAGCGCAATGCTTGCCACACAAACGCAACGTCGGTGTCACCAAGTGCCACGCCTGCCACGTAAAGTGGCGACTAACGGCACCCAAGCGCGTCACCAGAGCCAACCCAATCTCATAAGTGCCACGCCTGCCAAGCAAGCGCCACACCTGCCACGCAAAACGAAGGTCGATGCCGCCAAGTGCCACACCTGCCACGCAAAGTGCCGCGGCGCCAGGGGCGACTAACGGTGCCCAAGCGCGCCACCAGAGCCAACCCAGTATCATAAACGCCACGCCTGCCACACAAAACGAAGGTTGATGTCAGCAAGTGCCACGCCTGCCACGCAAACGCAACGTCGATGTCGCCAAGTGCCACGCCTGCCACGCAAAGTGCCGCGGCGCCACGGGCGAATAACGGCGCCCAAGCGCGCCGCCAGATCCAACCCAGTGTCATAAGCGCCATGCCTGCCACGCAAAACGAAGGTCGATGTGAGCAAGTGCCACGCCTGCCACGCAAAACGAAGGTCAGCGGGACCCAAGCGTGCCACCGGATGTGACAAAGCTGTGGGTGAAAGATGGTGTGTGAGAAAGTTGTTGTGAGAAAGATTGTGTGTGAGAAAGTTGCTGTGAAAGATTGCGTGTGGCTGAGAAAGTTGCTGTGAAAGATTGTGTGTGAGAAAGTTGTTGTGTGAAAGATTGTGTGTGAGAAAGTTGTTGTGTGAAAGATTGCGGTGTGAAAGATTGTGCGGAGGGGGAGAAGGAGAAGGAGGCGGGATACAGCACAGAGCCAAAAACAAGAACCCCACACAAAGATGTGCGGAAAAATGTTGATCTCTTTGAAAATCCTATATTCTATCTACTTCAAGATTATTATGTACATGAAATATATATATATAATGCCAGTAGTACCGCACAAGGCGGTGGCGGAAGTTTCAAAAATAGGAAACCTATAGGAGAGATTGGTTGTTGTGAATCAGGGATGGCAGAGCGAATCCACTGAAGGACCGAAAGGTGCTTGAGGTCTCCTCTCTTTCTCTCTCTCTTTCTCTGACTATCTACCCACCTACCAACCTATCTTCTTTGTATCTATCTATCTATCGATCTATCTATCTATCTCTCTCTCTCTCTTTTATCTAATTACCTATCTATCCATCTATCTATCTATCTATCTTGGAGTGTAGTGTAGTGTAATGTAGTGAAGTGTAGTGGAAGGTAGTGTAGTGTAGTGTAATGTAGTGTAGTGGAGTGTAGTGTAGTGTAATGTAGTGTAGTGTAGTGTAATTTAGTGTAGTGGAGTGTATTGTAGTGGAGTGTAGTCTTGTAGTTGTAGTTGTAGTGTAGTGGAGTGTAGTGTAGTGTAATGTAGTGAAGTGTAGTGGAAGGTGGAAGGTAGTGTAGTGGAGTGTAGTGTAGTGTAATGTAGTGTAGTGATTTAGTGTAGTGGAATGTAGTGGAGTGTAGTGGAGTGTAGTTGTGTAGTTGTAGTTGTAGTGCTGTGTAATGTAGTGTAGTGTAGTGCAGTGTAGTGGAGTGTAGTGTAGTGTAATGTAGTGTAGTGAAGCGAAGCGACATCTGAACCTCCAAAAGTGGTCCGAAACCCTAGTGTTTTTAACATGTTGACTTCGAAATGTGCTTCGCGCCACAACGGCGTGCACTTTTTCGACATCTGAACATCCAAAAGTGGCGCGAACATGTGGTGCCTTGTACATTTTGACTTCGAATGTGCTTCGCGCCACGACGGCGTGCACTTTTTCGACATCTCAACTTCCAAAAGTGGTCCGACAATGGTGTTTTGTACATTTTGACTTCGAAATGTGCTTCGCGCCACAACGGCGTGCACTTTTTCGACATCTCAACTGCCAAAAGTGGTCCGGAGCTGGTGTGTTTTGTACATTTTGACTTCGACATGTGCTTCGCGCCACAACGGCGTGCACTTTTTCGACATCTCAACTAGTAAAAGTGCTCTGACGCTGAGGTGTTTTGCACATTTTGTCTTGGAAATGTGCTTCGCGCCACAACGGCGTGCAATTTTTCATCTCTCATCTGGCCAGCTGGCTCCGCACCCGCCGCTTTAGCGAGCCTACTTTTCGACCCTCCGGAGCCACAAATTATTGGAAAAACACAGTGTTTCGCGACTTTCCTACCTTTTCGCGCATCTGCATCTTCTTTCTTCTGACTCTTTCTCTTCTACTCTTCTCTCTTCTAATCTTTCTCTTCTCTCTGCCTCTGCCCTGCTCTGCTTTTCATCTGTCCATATTATTGTCGGAAGTTTGACTTCTAAACTTCCTTCGATTAATATTCGGTTCATCCATCCACATATGGGAAAATACGCGTTAAAGTCAAATTGGGGTACCATCTACAGTCTCACAGCTGGAGTTTTGTTGTTTTCCTCCTGTCTGGGTATGGATGAATCCATAGTTTTACTTTACAAGATCTGCTTTTCATGCAAGTTTGCCTAATCTCATTGCGAGAAGACGCTTTTGAGAAGGCTAAACTGAAACCGGAGACAGAAGCGTCCTTGCCCAGGTGTGCACATACCTGCCCTGGAACAATTTCTGCAAAGGAAAACTCACAACATTCGAACAAGGCAGGAAGGCGCAGTGGAAAACATGAATTTGGGTCGTTTGATGGAAGTGCCCGTTTTTGCAGATCGATATGTATATATATATGTGTGTGTGCGCGCGCTCTTTTCGCGATTCGAACAGAAACCACATGATTTACAACCGATTAATTAAATCCCATTAAAATCTCATTGAACCCGGCGGTTGAAGAAACAGAAACATGTAATATCAAATCATATCAAGTATTGTCTGCTTATCTTTCATTTCCAGCCGCAACGATCAGGGAGAACTGGCGTTCACACGCTGCGCTGGAACATTCCGGATGTTCATGGAAATTTGATGAGTTGGTGTACTGATTCTAGAAGCAAACGTCCAACTCATCAAGATACGTGATGGAAAATCATTTGGGTGTGTCTGGAAATGACCTTTACCCCCAATTATTGCCATTTGATGTTGGGAAAATGATGAAAAAAAATCATTGGCTTTAGGGGTTTTCCAATCGGTGCCAAACCCATTTCACCGCGAGAGTCCGGTCCTCTTCAAGAAGCTCTTGATCCTTCGTTTCGGCCTCATCTAAAACCACCAGAAACCATTGTTTTTTTTCGGGTTCCAAATAAGGGATGTAAACAAAACTTACATGACTGGGACCATAGAATGTATCTGAGCTTGTTCTTCACAATTCTCCATCTCCGAAATGTCTATTTCATCCATATTTTGATAGCCGAGCCAACCCTCCGAAAGTCCACCAGAAAGCTGATGATCATCCCATGTTTGGACGCAAAATCACCGTTGATTGGTGACTCTTATATATTTAATCATAATATATATATATACATATCAAATAATATATATATATATATTATACATTTACAAGTATACATATATATATATATACAATTATTTAAATATATAATTATATATCTACAATGATATTATATTTATATATATAATCAAGTATAGTTATATATATATATATAATTATGTATACATATTATGAAATATAATAATATATATATAATAATGTACATTGAGGGCCCACCATCAAGACTTCATTGTTCATGTGCGGATGCGGTCCCAAAAGCGGGCCCTGGTGGCAGCACCGTTCGAGCACAAGCCGACTGACCGCCAAACGCACTCTCCACTACCTAACTGTGAGGAAACCAATTGCAACGGATTATGGAAAGACGCTAGCTACGTTCTGTGTGCTTTGGCAATGTGGACACCATACAGCGCTAAAACTTGCCTCGCAACTGTTGGTGGTGTATTAGAGGCTTTCAGCCTCGCAACTGTTGGTGGTGCATTAGAAGCTTTCAGCCTTTCCATCCTTTCCTCCTTTTCACTCGCTTTGGCTAATACCTTTGTATTCGGCCAAAGTGCGCAAAGGGTCGTCGTGACTTCCTGACATGCGGGTTTGAGGGTCGTAGGTGTGGCCTTGAAGGGTTGTAGGTTGAGCTGTGAGGGTCGTAGGTGCGCTCCTGACATGCGGGTTTGAGGGTCGTAGGTGTGGCCTTGAAGGGTCGTAGGTTGAGCTGTGAGGGTCGTAGGTGCGCTCCTGGCATGCGGGTTTGAGTGTCGTATGTGTGATCTTGAAGGGTCGTAGGTTGAGCTGTGAGGGTCGAAGGTGCGCTCCTGGCATGCGGGTTTGAGGGTCGTAGTGGCCTTGAAGGGTCGTAGGTCGACTTGTGAGGGTGGTAGGTGCGCTCCTGACGTTGTACCACGCACATCCCAAGATGCACGCAAGACAGCTTCCTGACATAAGCGTTGTAAAGGCGGCACGCTGCCAGAGAGCAAGAGGTCAGCATGGCGTCTTGCGGCTCCGGAAAGTGGACCCTTTTCACTGATTCAAAACAGCTTCTGCGCCATGTCCCCTCATAGAATTACACGGATGTGTGTGTGTGTGTGTGTCCATGGCGGCTTGCATTGCAGAAGGAAGGCTGGCGCCAGCAAATGAACGAAATCCGGGCCGTCAGGACCGTTGCGCAGCTCCTGGTTGCTCTTTCGCGGTCCCAAAAATGGTGCCAAAAACTGGCCCCAAAAACGGGGCCGCAATATTACCGGAAGAAGGAAAGGCTTCCAAAATGGCGGCCCCATTTCTGGGACCAGGGTGTTGCATACACAGTCAGCCCCCCTCTGCGTGCAGTGAGTAGCGGAGACTTCGGAACATTTCGTTTGTTTTCCTGCCAATTGGCTTGACAAAGCCTCATCCAAGTTTCACAGTGTATATATATAATAATATATGTATATATAATTATATTTATATATATGATCCCGGTCCCCGGTCCCGTAGCCCCCCCCTCCCCCCCCAATGGTATGGTCCCCTACTCCGTGACCTAGAATCTTTCATTTCCATGGTATTTACAGCATTTGGGATGCAAAACCTCATATTTCCATGGTATTTGCACCAGTTTGGATGGAGAACCTCATATTTCCATGGTATGTACAGCATTTTGGATGCAAAACCTCATATTTCCATACCAAAATACCAACATACCTATATAGATACATACCTGCAGACCTGCAGACCTACATACCTACATACTGCCAACATACATACCTACCTACCTACCTACCTACATACCTACCTACCTACCTACATACCTACCTACCTACCTACATACTGACATACATACTTTCATACCTACATACCTACATACCTACATACCTACCTACCTACCTACCTACCTACCTACATACATACATACAGACATACAGACATACAGACATACAGACATACAGACATACATACAGACATACATACATACATTACATATATATATATGCATACATACATACAGACATACAGACATACATACAGACATACAGACATACCTACATTACATATATATATACATACATACATACATTACATTACATTACATTACATTACATTACATTACATTACATACATACATACATACATACATACATACATACATACATACATACATACATACATACATACATACATACATTACATACATTACATACATGCATACATTACATACATTACATACATTACATACATTACATACAATACATACATTACATACATTACATACATTACATACATTACATACATTACATACATTACATACATTACGTACATTACGTACATACATACATAAATTCATACATACATACATACATACATACATACATTACATAACATAACGTAACATAACATAACATAACATTACATTACATTACATACATAACATAACATAACATAACATAACATAACATAACATACATAACATACATAACATACATAACATACATAACATACATAAATACATACATACATAACACACATAAGATACATAACATACATAACATAATTAACATACATAACATACATAACATACATAACATACATAACTAACATACATACATACATACATAGATGCATACACACATAGATGCATAGATGCATAGATGCATAGATACATAGATACATAGGTACATAGATAGATAGATAGATAGATACATACAGATAGATAGATAGATAGGTAGATAGATAGATAGATAGGTAGATAGATACATACATACATACATTACATGCACAAATTACATACAACAATTACATACAAAAATTACATACATGAATTACATGCATTAATTACATGCATTCATGCATGCATACATATAGATACATAGATACATAGATACATCCATACTATACCATACTATACCATACTATACCATACTATACCATACTATACCATACCATACATACATACATAAATTTTACTCACATTACTACCTACAGGACCCAACTACCTACAGGACCCAACTACCTACAGGACCCACCCAACTCCCACATCCACAGGGGGGAGAGGGGAACCATGACCATGGGGGGGGAGGGGGGGTCCCCGAACCTGGAACATATATATTTGTTTTATTCGGCTCCATCTATGATTCTCTGATACTTATATATATATATATATATATTCAGAAAGGTACGCTGTCAGGTCCCCATTTTCCACGTTTCTAAAAATGCAGTGTTTTTGCTACATCATGTTTAATCCTTTATGTTCATATACCTGTGATGGTACTGCTAGAGATCCACACAGATTGTCAGACTTCCTCAGAGGTTGCCAAAGAATGTCCAGAGAGTCATGAAGGTCTCCAGGGAAAAAGAAGGAGGAAAAACAAACATAGTGTGTGTGTGTGTATGCATATATGGCTTCCCTTAGGGGAGAGGTGGCAAAGGACAAAACGAAAGAAAAAAAAAACGAGCCTCCCCCCCTCTCCTAGACCTCCTATATATAGCCCTCCTATATACATTGATGGACTTGCATTTTTCCTGGTAGCACTACTGTATGCATCTATGATATGGATGGTACAAAAGTAGCACATACCAATACGTACACATATTTTCTGCATGTACTGTGCATATGTAATGGAATTCTTCCAGGATTGATTGCGATAAAGACTCTTTGGTTGCAACTGACTTTGCTCATAAGAGTTGGCACATGGCAAGGACAGCTCCAACTTACACTTTCTCCAAAATTTTTCATGTATATTTCACAGTAATTTTCTATGCCACTGCATATCTAATCCAGGTATCCTGTTACCATAATTGCTTGGCTGAGCTTTTATGATCTTTTTATTACCATAAATGTACTCATGGCTGTGGAGAAAAACTTAAGCTATGTCAGTATAAGTCCACCATGGTAACCAGAAGGGCACAAGACCAAGTAAAGGAAACACTTAAGCAACCTTGCCAAACAACTGTATCTATAGAATGGCTGCCTTGCTTTTCATTGATGCAGCAAGTTACCATTTTCATTGATGCAGCAAGTTACCATGAAGTATACAAAAAAAAATGCAACTACTAGAGGAGGGACAGTAGATTGGAAAATGGGTGGCATACAAGTCACCTATGCCCTTACAGGCACAAGTGTTCTACATTTCTCCTGCATATGCAATGGTATTCTTCCAGGTTTCAATGCAATAAAAGATCTTTGCTTAAAATATTGATTGATCACAAGAGTTGGCAAATTCCAGGGGCACTTCCATTTCCCCCTTGCTTCAGAAAAGGCGTTTTTACCTGCATATTACATGGTAATTTGCTTCAGAGTTCCTAAGTCTCTAGGATGAAGGGTTTTCAAACTATTTTTCTATGATTTATTTAAGATTTGGATACGATTTCCATTTATGTTTTTTTTATGGGTTCAAATTGTGGTTATGTTTTTTTAAATGGTTTGGGTGCGACTGGAAAAATCACTTATGCTTTTGTTTATGGTTTTGGATATGATTTTTTTATGGCTTTGGATATGTTTTTTATGGATTTGGATATTTTTTTTACGATTTTTTTATGGGTTTGGAAATGGTGTTGGCCAAAATCGTACCAAAATCGTAAATTTCTCGAGTTTTTGGCTAAAAAAACGATTCTAGGGACCTTGGTGGCATTTACGTTTGTTTTACGTTTTTTTTACGATTTTGGTACGGTTCCCTACGAAAATCGTAAAAAAAACGTAAACAAATCGTAAATTTCTCGAGTTTTTGGCTAAAAACCAGGTTCATGGGACCTTGGTTGCATTTACGATTTTTTTTACGATTTTGGCTCCAAATTAGGTTCTGGTGGTGGAAAGGCTCCTGGGAAAGTGAAACTCTACCAAAATCGATTAAAATCAAAAATCGCATTCAAAACCATAAAAAAACATAAGTCATTTTCCCAGCCATAAAAAAATCGTATTCAAAACCTTAAAAAAAACCATAAGTCATTTTCCCATCCATAAAAAAATATATCTGCAAATCATAAAAGAATCATATTGAAATCGTAAAAAAATGCCAAAAACGGCATCCTAAAGGATTTAAGAAGTCTGAATAATTTGCTGTGTCACTGCAAATATAAAGGCAGACATTTTATTACCATAAATGTACTCATGGCTGTGGGTAAAACTTAAGCTATGTCAGTATACGTTCACTATGGTAACCAGAAGGGCACAAGACCAAGTAAAGGAAACACTTAAGCAACCTTACCAAACAACTGTATCTATAGAATGGCTGCCTTGCTTTTCATTGATGCAGCAAGTTACCATTTTCATTGATGCAGCAAGTTACCATGAAGTATACAAAAGAAATGCAACTACTAGAGGAGGGACAGTAGATTGGAAAATGGGTGGCATATAAGTCACCTATGCCCTTACAGGCACAAGTGTTCTACATTTCTCCTGCATATGCAATGGTATTCTTCCAGGGTTGCAACTGATTTTGTTCATAAGAGTTGGCACATTGCAGGAACAGCTCCAATCTACACTTTCTCCAAAAATATATTTTTCCTGTATATTTCACAGTAATTTGCTATGCCATTGCATATCTAATCCAGGTATCCTGTTACCATAATTGCTTGGCTGTGCTTTATGATATTCACCCCGCTTCGCGTGGGGTGGCCGCCCACACCGCAGGTTTATTTCGGTCCGTGAGAGGGGCTAAGGGTGGTTTTCCCCCGTGGGGGCTCCCCAAGCTAAGAATTTTCACTTTCCCCCCCCGTGGGGGCTCCCCAAGCTAGGGAATTTTCACTTTTCCCCCCCGTGGGGGCTCCCCAAGCTAGGGAATTTTCACTTTTCCCCCCCGTGGGGGCTCCCCAAGCTAGGGAATTTTCACTTTTCCCCCCCGTGGGGGCTCCCCAAGCTAGGGAATTTTCACTTTTCCCCCCCGTGGGGGCTTCCCAAGCTAGGGAATTTTCACTTTTCCCCGCCGTGACAGCTTCCCAAGCTATGAATTTTCACTTTTCCCTCCCTTGGAGGCTCTCCAAGCTGCGGAATTTCAAATAGCTAGACAACGACGCCTAGATAGTCCCCAAATCCCGTGTTCTTTGAATGTGTTTCCATGTTTTTGCAATGGTTCCTTCAAAGCACGGTACTTTACACTTTTGTCGCCATAAAACCGGTCGAAAACATCATGTTCGACAATGCTTCCAATTCCCTTATCTCCCCAACCGTTGAAAATACCGCTATTTACAGTGTTTTCTTCAATTTTTCCATGTGCCAATGCCGGTAGCCAACTCCAACATATATATAAGAAATCCTTCCAAAACATTGTTTTTGACAGTGTTTTTCCAATGTTTCCAGTCAAACAGACGGTAATTTACACGTTTTTTGCCATAAAGGCAGTAAATCCTTCCAAAACATTGCTTTTGACAGTGTTTTTGTAATGTTTCCAGTCAAGCATACGGTAATTTACACGTTTTTTGCTATAACGTCAGTCCAAAACACTTGTTTTTGCAGTGTTTTCAATGCTCTGGCATCCAAAAACCCTGCAAAATCTTGCTATGTACAATGTTTTTTTCATTTTTGGCCGTTTTTCCATTGCCGGAAAGCTACCAAAATGACCCAAAATTCCATTTCAATACCCTCTTGCGCTCAGACACCCAAAAATCCTCGAAAAATGTCGAAAACACCACCGTATTCTGGTCTCGGTGCGAAACCGTTTTTGGCCCCCCCCAGCTAAAGCTGATACAGCGACTGCTATATTAACAAATGTCATTGAGCATTTAGTGTTGCTGTTGCCCCCCAATAAGCACGCCTTCACCGCCAAAGCGGTGTGGGCGGATTTTTATTACCATAAATTTACTCATGGCTATGGGCAGAACTTAAACTTTGTTAGTTTAAGTTCATCATGGTAACTTAAATGGCACAAGACCAAGTAAAGGAAACACCTAAGCAACCTTACCAAACAACTGTATCTATAGAATGGCTGCCTTGCTTTTCATTGATGCAGCAAGTTACCATGAAGTATGCAAAAAACAAAAAATGTAACTACTTGAGGAGGGAGAATAGATTGGAATTTGCACTTTTCTTTGCTAAAAGAGTTCCACTGGAACTATGATGTCAACCAAATGGCGACCTGGCAGTCCAATATCAAAAACCACCAATGTAAATACAAAGTGCTATGTATATGTATATATATACTGTCTTTGCAATAGCTGTGTACCTAGGTAGTACCTATACATGAATATATACATGAAGTACCAACTGGCACAATGAATCTCTATGTTTCAAAATGTTGCTGGGCAAAGAAAGAAGTTTGCCATTCATGCACTAAGACCACCTATCAAAAAAAAAATAGAGCTACAAAAAAGCAAGCAATCCAGAATAGAGCTAAGGATTCACAAACCAAAAACAGTACATCTCCCAAGAACTTTGATCTTTCATATATGATCAAAAGATGAAAAAAAACAAAAAATAGTCAAAAAACGCTTAAAACCATGTATTTTTGGGGACCTGGTGGCGTACCACTCTAGATATATTTACATATAATCACCATAAACGGGTTGTATAAAGCATACCCCAAATAGTCAGGTCCCATTTCCGAGAACTTTTCTGCCCAGTTGCATCCTCCAGCTGCATCCTGGGATGCAATCGAGTTTCTTGGAGATTTTCCAAAGAATTTAATGGGAATAACTGGAGGTTAATTTAAAAATCGGATTTGATTAAATAGGGATATTATAGAATATTGTGGTACAATAAAAAATCCGCCCGCACCGAAGGTGCCGAGGCATGGTAGTTTGTTTAGCAGCGAATGACACGAATGGACCGATCTGTCAGTTTCAACCCACTTTTGACAGAGCAGACACCCGTGCGATGCCGTGTTGCCCACATTGGGCTTGTCTTGGGCACAACTTCGGCGCCAGATGCCCCACACAGGACCCCAGTTGGGCCCAAGTTGGAGCCAACTGGTCTGAGCTCGGCGGAAGTTACGCCCCAAGTCGGGCCCAAGTGGGCTCCTGTTCGGCCCAACTTATGGCCAAGGACGGCCGAGTTTGACCCCAGTCAGCTTTTGGTTGGGCCAAGCTCTCCTCTCTGTCAAATTCCCTGGGTGCGGGCGGTTCTCGTCACGAAGCGATATATATATATATATTACATATATAACACACACATATCAGATAACCACAACATACCATAAGTACATGTGTGTGTCTGAAAATGTGGCATTTATTCCCAAGTTGCGGCCGTCAAAGAATAGGGAAAATGATGACTAGTTGCGTTGGCACTAGGGGTTTCCGCTATTTTTTCAGACAAACCCATATTGTTGTGATACGTAGAAATACCTCATCCCACTTACCAACTGCTTAGTAACCCTAGTAAGTAAGTTCCCTAAGTGGGTTATCCCATCTATAAATTCGCGAGCTAACCATGGGAACCATAACCACTTATGATCCGTGGGATGATCCTCCCAGTAGGAACTCCCACAGTCGTCCTTTCTGTCAGCAGCGGATCCAAGCGTACTTCGCGGCCCGGCCACCTGGTGGTGAATGGGATATCAGGAACCTGAAAAGCATGGAAGAAAAGCTCTTAGTGGAATATCTACTCAGTGGAATTTCTACTGTAATGTATCCCTTAGTTATAACTTATAACCATGAGTTTCCTCCCAGTAGTAATTCGGGAACCCAATGGAATCGCAGTATCTCATTGTATATCTACAATATTTGGGAGAAGCAATGGTGCTTAGCCCAGAACCTTAAGTACCTGATTCGAAAAGGACAGCTCCAATGAAGGTAAACTATCGTAAACATGAGTTGAAACCGCCACCCCATTCTTTGTTGCAATCCTTATCAGGGTTTCTTAAAATGGCGGATCCCCAAGTCACCATGGGTTAAGCTAGGCCAAAATTGCCCAATGACTGGGATGATTTGGGATACCCCCATGACTTAGGAAACCTCCACATGTTCGTTTGTGAAATCCCACCTGTCGAAACCGCGAATGCTGCGCCCCTGAGACTCCGACATGCATTGCGACCTGGCGTGACGCGATGTTGAAACGCGTCTTTCTGGGCTCCCATTCAGCATCCTGGGTTGAAACATGGTACGTGATAACACCCATTTACTAGCTCCATATCCCATTCTCGGACCAAACAAGCATCCAAACAACATGAGTTGATTTTTTTATACAACATCCGGGGTAGACTTGCCTCGTCACGGACAATCCTGCCAATTCGTGGCCATCCACCCAGCGAGAAACGCCCGGTTCCCGGACCTGACCGATGTCTTTTTTGTTCTGGAAAAGCTCTGCGGTTAGTGCGTCCCAACTGCTGCGTGGGCTGTTCATTTGAGGCGTGCATTACGGTATCACGCATGTGCGTTTGAAGCAAATGACGCAAATGCTGCAGACTGTGGGCTGACAAGACAGTCCTTAGCAACCTTTGGCACAGATGAAAGCATGAATAGCGGCAGCCATCTCAACAGGAGACATGCGCGTTAGAAGATCTTGGGGTGTATCACAATATTTCATCCTGGTGGCGTCGCCACCATGACATCATGAGTATTCCCCAATTTCTTTCTATCATCATCCACTTTAATGAATGGAATATATATATATATGTATAATATATATATATATATGTATTAAGAATATGTATATATACATATATATATATATTATATATATATATATGTCTATATATTGTGGGAAAATCAGACATCTTTATCCCAAGTGCTCCAAGCAGCTCAAAAACAGCCCCTAACCCTCCGAGCACTGTCAAAGACGTTGCTCATTTTTTTCCCGCAATAAAGCCATCTTGCGGATGTGAACGATGAGGCCTTGGTATTGGAAAGCAAAAGCACAACTCCAATTCACGGTACAGCTCAACATAGTAACATGACCAAAACTACATCATATCTCAATCCAAATCGAAACATTTCTGTCAAAACCAGCCCACACCCTTCTGCAAGCAACGGGGGAGCCGCATGGAAGCGCACTTGCTGCCCAGTCGCGAGGGAACAGGTCCCAGCAGGCCTCTGAGGTCGTTAAAGCGAAGTTTATTCCTTGGCGCCTCCGCAATTTTCCACGCATCGCTGGAGGATTCCTCATCACCTGCATTGCACCTGCATCACAGCTGCATGCTCTTTCAGCACAAAATGCGGGACTTTGGTCACTTTGGTCCGGAAGTTAGAACTGCAAGAGACATCCAGGCACTTCATGTAAAATCATGTAAACGTTGCGTCACCTTCGATGCTCCAAATTCTTGAAGCTCTCTGCGGCTTCAGCCCACTGGGCTCCCCTTTCTTCTTCGAGCGTTCTGATCTCTGTGGCAAAATCTTGGGATCATTAAGGGACGGCCGCTGAGGAACCTGACAGCATTGAGGTGCCAATGTCAGGGTGATCCGTTGCAATTTGATTCAGTACTGCCAAGAAAAGATCATAAACAAATCCTCTTTGTACTGTAGAATATTGAAGTGACATCCTCACAAATGACGACACTTCTATAAAGCGGCTTGGCATCTTCTTCTGCCGGAAAATCTGCTTGGTCCCCTGACTTGCTGGAACCAACTTCTAAGCATCAGTCTACCTGCTTTCTTGCTGTTGTTTGAAAGCGTCCTGCACGCTCTCCAGTCCCTGTGTGCCTGCCCACATGACCTTCTGCACAACATGCACATCCAAGGAAAGCAACATCGATCAATCGTTGTGAAGAAGAGATGTTGCAGCCAATGGTAACCAACGCCTCCTTTCGAAGCATTGCCAGCTGGCTTTCTGACAACATTGCGTCAGTTTTCCGCAACAGCTTCCTTTGCCATGCCAGTTTCTGACTTCAGGTAAAACAACGCGCTCTTTGATTTGCCCAACTGCTTTCCAACCCCGTGAGGCTGGATCCCTGTTGAAGCACTCCAGTCACAGTTTCCAATGTTTCCAATGTTTCCAAGTCAAGCTTGCCGGAAACAATTTCTAAGCATCAATCTACCTGCTTTCTTGCGGTTGTTTGAAAGCGTCCTGCACGCTCTCCAGTCCCTGTGTGCCTGCCCACATGACCTTCTGCACAACATGCACATCCAAGGAAAGCAACACATCGATCAATCGTGGTGAAGAAGAGATGTTGCAGCCAATGACAACCAACGCCTCCTTTCGAAGCATTGCCAGCTGGCTTTCTGACAACATTGCGTCAGTTTCCCGCAACAGCTTCCTTTGCCATGCCAGTTTCTGACTTCAGGTAAAACAACGCGCTCTTTGATTTGCCCAACTACTTTCCAAGCCCGTGAGGCTCGATCCCTGCGTTCTCCTGTACAAAGTGCCAGTTGCACGGCTGTTGAAGCACTCCAGGCACAGTTTCCAATGTTTCCAATGTTTCCAAGTCGAGCTTGCCGGAACCAATTTCTAAGCATCAATCTACCTGCTTTCTTGCGGTTGTTTGAAAGCGTCCTGCACGCTCTCCAGTCCCTATGTGCCTGCCCACATGACCTACAGCACAACATGCACATCCAAGGAAACCAACACATCGATCAATCGTGGTGAAGAAGAGATGTTGAAGCCAATGACAACCAACGCCTCCTTCCGAAGCATTGCCAGCTGGCTTTGTGACAACATTGCGTCAGTTTTCCGCAAAAGCTTCCTTTGCCATGCCAGTTTCTGACTTCAGGTAAAGCAACGCGCTCTTCGATTTGCCCAACTACTTTCCAAGCCTGTGAGGCTCGATCCCTGCGTTCTCCTGTACAAAGTGCCAGTTGCACGGCTGTTGAAGCACTCCAGGCACAGTTTCCAATGTTTCCAATGTTTCCAAGTCAAGCTTGCTGGAACCAACTTCTAAGCATCAATCTACCTGCGTTCTTGCTGTTGTTTGAAAGCGTCCTGCTCGCTCTCCAGTCCATGTGTATGCCTGCCCACATGACCTTCTGCACAACATGCACATCCAAGGAAAGCAACATCGATGAATCGTGGTGAAGAAGAGATGTTGCAGCTAATGGGAACCGACGATTCGTTTCGAAGCATTGCCAGCTGGCCTTCCGACAATATTGCGCCAATGCAAGAGAAGATGTATGGATTTTTGGATATGTTTTGTACTCTTCAACTGGAAGGAATAGCTGTCATGTGTCTCGTTTTTTTCGCTTCCAAGTCAGTTCACATGAACGCAACTGTAAAAACAATACCGTTGAAAACCTCCCGCATACCATGGAATTCCTAAGAATATATATCTGCCGAGAAAACCTTCTGCATGACGTGGCTGTCCGAGGAAATCTGCAGCCATGGACTGATCAGGGGTCATGCGACCTTAATATGTCTCTGATGCTTGCCAAAAATCATGTGCGCAAAACAGGGGGAGTGAAGGATAAAATTCTGCCTCCATTCTCATCATAGTCGGAAGCATCAACCACGTGCGCTCAAAATTGCAAGTGAGACACTGCTGACACTGGATTCGGACCAATCTCAGGACTGACTAATGACTAATCTCTTCAAGTATATTGGTCCGAGGAAATCTGCAGCCACGGACTGATCAGGGGTCATGCGACCTTCCAATCTAATATGTCTCTGATGCTTGCCAAAAATCATGTGCGCAAAACAGGGGGAGTGAAGGATAAAAATCTGCCTCCATTCTCATCATAGTCGGAAGCATCAACCACGTGCGCTCAAAATTGCAAGTGAGACACTGCTGCCACTGGATTCGGACCAATCTCAGGACTGACTAAAGACTAATCTCTTCAAGTATATTGGTCCGAGGAAATCTGCAGCCACGGACTGATCAGGGGTCATGCGACCTTCCAATCTAATATGTCTCTGATGCTTGCCAAAAATCATGTGCGCAAAACAGGGGGAGTGAAGGATAAAAATCTGCCTCCATTCTCATCATAGTCGGAAGCATCAACCACGTGCGCTCAGAATTGCAAGTGAGACACTGCTCCCGCTGGTTTCGGGCCAATCTCAGGACTGACTAATGACGAATCTCTTCAAGTATATTGGTATAGTATATCATCAACTACTCTTCCACCGGCACAATTTCTACCAGGCTTCAAGATGTGGAAAATGCATTAACTAGTCGGGTCAAACTCGACAGAAGCACATTTCTCAGGCTCAAGGAATCCTTTGCAACACTTTGATATGTTTGTACTGGACGAGGTTTCATCACTTCAGCCAAGAGAAAATGTTGGCGGGATAGCCACAATCGCTCGTTATGTATTGTTGCGCTATTGGGGAAATAGTCGAATTCATTGCACCTGTTACTCCACACTCCACACCTTGCCTTCTACAGTTGCCGCTGCTGAAGCTATCTCAAGCATGGACACAATGACCACTTGCCATGCCAGCTTTTGCCCTCAGTAAAGACAGACTTTGGCCAAATTCTCTGGCATGCTTGGATTGGGCTCTCATGATAGACCCAAGTACTTTCCAAACATATGAGGCTCGACCCCTTTGCTTCTACTACACCAAGTGCCAATTCCAGGGCTGTTGATGCACTAGCAGTGGAGTTGTCAACATTTCTCTGTCTTTCTCCGCTTCCAAGTCAGGTCACATGCAGGCTGCATCGAGGCGTCCATCTGCATCTTTTATCCACCTAGTGTCTTACAGATTCTTTGACGCCGCTCTGCACACCATCAAGCTCTGAGATACCTGTTGCCTGGATAGATTTCCGGTGAAGACGAGATTGATGTCCGATGATATGGACTCTACCTGTTGGTCTACTTACTGGACACGGTGCCTGCGCAAAGCCCTTGCAGCATGGCCTATGCAACGGATCCTCCCGAGTCCGTTTGACGAAACGCAAACCCCAGACTCCCTGCGAATAGGGTTGTCCGAAAATGCTTGCTTTGCCATGCCAGTTTCTGACTTCAGGTAAAACAACGGGCTCTTTGATTTGCCCAACTACTTTCCAAGCCCGTGAGGCTCGATCCCTGCGTTCTCCTGTACAAAGTGCCAGTTGCACAGCTGTTGAAGCACCCCAGGCACAGTTTCCAATGTTTCCAATGTTTCCAAGTCAAGCTTGCTGGAACCAACTTCTAAGCATAAATCTATCTGCTTTCTTGCGGTTGTTTGAAAGCGGCCTGCCCACATGACCTTCTGCACAACATGCACATCCAAGGAAAGCAACATCAATCAATCGTAGTGAAGAAGAGATGTTCCAGCTAATGGGAACCGACGATTCGCTTCGAAGCATTGCCAGCTGGCCTTCCGACAATATTGCGCCAATGCAAGAGAAGATGTATGGATTTTTGAATATGTTTTGTACTCTTCAACTGGAAGGAATAGCTGTCATGTGTCTCTGTTTTTTCGCTTCCAAGTCAGTTCACATGAACGCAACTGTAAAAACAATACCGTTGAAAACCTCCCGCATACCATGGAATTCCTGAGAATGTATACCTGCCGAGAAAACCTTCTGCATGACGTGGCTGTCCGAGGAAATCTGCAGCCATGGACTGATCAGGGGTCATGCGACCTTCCAATCTAATATGTCTCTGATGCTTGCCAAAAATCATGTGCGCAAAACAGGGGGAGTGAAGGATAAAAATCTGCCTCCATTCTCATCATAG